TGACGATTTGACGAACCTGTTTCTGTTCCTGAGCTGTGCCTTCTTTTGACTAAATCTTAATCTGTGCAACGAACTGTATAAGACATCTTATTTGGGAATATTTTAATGAAAGTTCTTATATGTCTGAGTAAGTCAGCCAAATGCAAACAAGCCTGGCTGCCTGAATGAAACATCAGTATGAGAACTGTGACTGCTTTGAAAATGCTAACAGAAGCATGTCTGAACATGCAGCATCTACACATTAATAAATATTCTTATGTCATCGTACTTTTTTTTTTGGTAAGGACTGTCTGCGTTCTCTGGCCATATTTTCATATCTGAACAACAGTTGTTACGGTATGATGGTAATTTACTGCACTTAAGCAAAACTGGTGTTCTACTGTTCCACTTGCATCAGCACAAGCACTCTGTAAACTAGAAAAACAGTAGGTACACTAACTTCTTTAACTTTTGTTTATAAGAATCAAAATACAAGATTCTAATGACTGGGTACCTGTGGTATATTTAATGTTATTTTCATTTTCTATTAATTTAGAGTGATCTGATAGCAGTGTTTTAACCATGCCATGTATGTGAGACAGGCCTATCTATCACCATATCTATCATATCTCAATATAGCTGCAAAAACAAAATGGATCCTGTAGAAATTGCTATAGATAACTTTGTAATAAAAAACAATAAATTACAGCAAGAAGCAATTTATTTGAAGAAAAAAACCACTTGGTCTGTTTCTGCAACAAATTCATTTCCATATAGCTGAGAACATATATTTCATCCATATGGCTGATTCACTCAAACCAGGATACAGATTATCTAAAAGAGTAAAAATTGCAAGAGGTTTTTTTTTGTTAAATTATATAAAGACTATACAAATACACTAATCTAGAGAAGAAAATGTTACGATGAGTCTTAATGTGAGGAGCAATATATGGAGTAATTCCATAATATGTTCTTACGTATCAAGAGAAGAAGGAAGCATCTTCCTTACTAAAAAAAGGAAATTAGCACATTGCTAAACATGTACAATTAGCTGCTATAAAAGTGATAACTGTAAAAAATTCAAGTAAAGAGCAAAGACATGGATAATACTGCAATGTAATATCAGAAGAAACTTAAGAACTGGAAAATTCCCCAAACAGCATACAGATGAAATGCTCATTTAATGCATTTCCTAGCTACAGATTTCAGTGTTTAAGAAATAAAATGTAACTGAGTTAGCTATGTAATAATTTGTAAACAAAACAGAAAGAAACAGATGGAATTGTGAAGATCTTAACATGGGGCTAAAGAGAAATATGGAACATTTGATAACCATCTTAAAGCCTATTTCTATGGGTCTGAAAAATATGCAGAGAAAAAAGATTCTGATGAAGCTGAAGTTTGGAAGAAATTTAAGGTAACCTTGAAAAAACCAATTGGCAATAACAAGAGTTAAACCACATACACACAACAAAGGAAAAAGCACTGCCTCCAACTAATTTTCTTGCCAGTGTTCTCCATACTCAACACCAGAGTCAATTCTTAACTGCTGAAGAGGAGCTGCCTCTGATACAGGCATCCAGCAATCAACTTTCCATAACACCAACTATAAATTTTAGGGAAAATAGTGAGTCATCCAAGAAATATTCCATTTTTGTTTTTAAAAGTGATGTAACATATATGGCAATCAGCCAAATTTTTCCAATTACTTTTTATCAAATGTGGAATGATAATCTCAGCCGTCAGCCTCAAATATTGAATATATAGTAAATTCATTTTTTATCTCTGTTTTCTTCAATCTGGGAAGGAAAAACAAGTGTTCTTACTTTTATAGCTTGCACATTCTCAATTTTGAATTATTTCAAATTAAAAAAATATATACAAGCAGAAAAGCTGCTGTTAGAACTTTTAACTATGGCAATTATCTATTTGGAGACATGAACCACTTCAGTTCAGTATCTACTCTACCCATTTTTAAGAGCCAATTAGTATAAAAAATCTATTAAGGAGGGTGCCCAAAGATTGATTTGATTGATGAGATGCTGTAAGGATGGGGACAGGGTTTAACCCTGTTACTGCAGCAGTTAACACCATATCTATGCTATATGAATTAAAATAGATTTGGTCTACTTTTTCATTTCTGGTTTTATAAAATAGCTATTGGCCAGATATTTTATTCCACAATGAAGGGAAATTTGACACTATGACTTTAAGCCTGTTTCTTCAAAACCAAATCTCACTAATTTGAGAGGGACTTGCTCCCTAGTAAATATATGTAGGAAAGCAGCCTCACACATTTAGCTTAGATTCAGGAGTTATTGAATATTAGTAGAACATATTTTCATAAATATTTCTATAAACTTTAGGGTGCATTATGTCCATTAAAACGAATTCCATACATTTTTTGTTTTTTTAAGCAGCAAAGGTATCACACATAATTAACTATTTAGATTAATAAAATACAACTAAGTTTCACATAATCATCCAACTAATATGCACAAGTTATTTTTCTGGGTTTAAAATATACAAGTCTTGCTCACTCAGAATCTATAGCCAAAGACACACTCAGTTACTGGGAGGAACTTCATTGCTCTTGGCAAAAATACCAAAGGGAACTTTAGTTAAAATGCTATTTACTACAACACTTTAACATTACTATGTTTTTACACAACATACATCAAGCTAGAATTGATCTGGCTACATAGTAAACGATACTACTTCATTCCTTTAACACACTAGCAGTATTCACATATTTTACTACATCTGGCTTCCACAATGTGATGCTCTCTGGATATGTTGGCATTCAGCTTCTGTAATTCCTAGCCAACCTGCTCTTTGCCCATAATAGTTGAAAATGAAAAAAAAGTGCAATGTAACTGTGGGCGAAGCGTTGGAAAAGTATGGCATAAAAGAACAGGATGAGTCACATGTCTTGAGTTCACATACTTTTCTCTTTATTTTTTTTAAACCATAGTTGATGTTCATCACAGTTAATCAGTTCAAATGACATGAAAGATCACTAACAACCCCTGAATTAGCACCATGGAAGACTGGTGGGAAGTTAGTGACGTGGACCCCTTTTTCTTTTTGCACCTACAAGAACTGCCTGGGCAGAATTACTTAGCCAGCTGAGGTGATTTGTGTATTCTTCCAAACAAGCTTGTAAAAGAAGTTACTTAGCAGAGTTTTGCATACTGCATCACTGTTATTGTTAATCACTCTGGCTTGCCACTTATCTATTCCTTACAACCATTAAGATAAAGAGGACAACACCAGCTCCTTAATCTAATACCTGCCAAGGGGAGGGGGAATAAGCTTAATGTTCCCATAAACAAAGAAGTTTAAGGTTCTTTGGTTTCTAAGGTACTTATCTGATGATGATTACTAGAGAATCTGTCTTCCCTAAAAAATTCACTGTAGCAATTCCACTGTCTAAATTTATGATCAAGTCCCTGATAAGAGGTGCTACTAAGCCATCTCCAGGTACTACTGTTTATGCTCCCTATTTCAAGTATAAAAAAGTAGCAAAAGAACCCAAACAATTCAAACCTTACCATAAACTCAAAGTCCTGGGAGGATGCTGTACAATTACTGGCTCCTGGGGGTCTGTCTGCTGCCATTCTTGGGGCTGCTAACATGCTGAAGGGACATGGATTGGTATATCTTTTTCTGTTAAATCTCTTAATATTTATTCAATAAATTCTTCTTTGGCATTTCACCCTATTTGAGCCTATTGTCTTCAAATCCTGAAGAATCTATTGGCCCCTGACTGGCAACCAGAATGCCAACACAACACCTTCACTCATTTAATGTAACATAGAAAAATGTTCTATACCTCTCAAAAGTTTACACTATACCCACATAAGTTGTATCCTAAATTGCTACTATCATTGCTACTACAGGTGGTCCTCACTTAACAATCACTCGTTCAGTGAACATTTGAACTTACAACAGTGCTGAATGAGTAGTTATGACCGGTCCTTGTCGTTACATCGGTTGCAGCGTCCCCATGGTCACATAATCACAATCTGGGCACTCAGTGCCTAGCTCACAATTATGTCACAGTTTCCTGTGGTCACGTGATTGCCATTTGCAACCTTCTTTGCTGGCCTCCTACAAGCAAAGTCAATGGGGAAACCTGAAGGAGGTCACAAATGGTAACCACGTGACGTCCTCACTTAACGATCCATGGTGATTCACTTAACAGCGGCAACCAGGAGTGCTGGAATTTCCATTGCTAAGTGGCATGGTCACGTGATGTCACACTTTACAATTGTGTCACTTAGTGATAGAAATTCCACTCCTAATTACTATTGTTAAGTAAGGACTACCTGTATTATTTTACCTAACAGCTAAAGTTCACATGTGGATTTTAAATTATTAAAACTAATCAAACAAAGCTAAACAATAAAAATACAATAAATAAATCACACCAGAAATATATATAAAAGGCACTATTTCAGCATAGAGTGGGAATGTAAAATCTATGTACAAAAAGTATAGAAATGTCTAAGAGAAATATGTTTGCTGGCACTGAAAAGATCGTAACTGGGGATGCCAAATATGTCTCTCTGGAAAAGACATTTCTTAAACAGGACCTTAACAACTCAGAAGGCCTTCTTCCATACAGCTACCTACCACTGGGAGCTCCAAAGATAATTAAAAAGGCATTTCCTGACACACTCCACTTTCAGCACCAAGACTAGGCCTACGAGCCAGTGCAGCTGGACAAGACTGACAGCCAGTACAGGAGATGAAGCACTGACATCATATGCTTAGCCAGTCCCAGTCAGTAACCTCATAATTCTATTTCAGATTAACTGAACTATTGATCATTATTTTAAAAAATGTAAAGGTACTTTAGAACTCAAGTACTTTAGAAATCCTTATGTGGAAGTGGTACTGAGAGACCAATTTCAAAGCATCCATATGGATTATACTAATAGGCTTCATTGTAACTACTATCTTTAAATAATTAGCAACAATAATTATATTTTATACCCCTGTTCACGAAGCTTTACCTTGATTGGGGCTGTAGAAAACTTCACTTTTCTAGCTGGATCAGGATCTTCTTCCTCAGAAAGTCCAGAAAGTTCCTCATAATCACTATTATAGTTGTATTCTTCCTCTTGCAAGGTTTCTTCTCCTTCAGGGCCCCGAGTATGTAGCTCTGTTTCTCTGTCATCATCAAAAGCTGCATTCTCTATCCCAAAAGCACCAGAAGAAAATCCACTAAACTTCTTTCTCTGTTCTACTTCTTGTTCTTCCTCTTCACTATCCCCTACTGGTTTTACATGCTCTTGTTCCAGAACTTTGTCCAGAAATACTAACTCTCTTGCTTTCTGATTAGCCTCACCATCCTCATTAAATTCTTCCATTTCCTCAAATGTACCATCATTTCGTTCCCCTTTCCAACTTGGAAATCTGAGTGATTTTTCCTTCTGAAATACATTAACTTCCCCAGTGACTTCATTGTTATCCCCTAAAGTTTTGTTCTGCACCATAATCAGTTCAGCTCTAGCTACTTCTACTTGGGAAATTTTTATGGGGGCTCTATCCACTTTAGAGGATATGTTGGTTGTACACTGTTGATCCCTTTCAAAAGTTTCATCTGTTTGAAATGTTACTTCAGTTGCATCACTTAGCTCACTCCTTTTGATAGCACTGCTGCTCGTCAAAAGGGAAGACTCTACAATAGGCTGATTTTGCTGCAAATATACTTCTTTCTTAACTACTGGTGATTCCCAGCTGCAGAACACTGTTTGAACAGGGTTTGGGATATCGTCAGCTATCAAAGTATCTTGGAACTCCTCGTTGTCAATGTCAGCCAGGAAACTCTCCAGTCTTCGAGAAATAGGTCCTGCATTCAGTGAAGAGGATTTACAACTGCCAGTAGATTGCTGCAGCTTCTGATCACTATTTCCTTGATTATCTGTTTTATCTACAGCAACCTGAGAAGTTACATCAATATTGAAATTAAATTGATCTGTCACACTACTGCAGTCAGAAGAAGCAGAACCATGTCGTCTCCTATCTTCAATCCTTTCACTTTTAATGGGAGTACATCTGTCCAATGAGCTTGGCTTTTTAATGTTCCTTTCAAATAGTTTTCTAGTCTCAGAAAACTTTTCTGCTAGTGTAGCTTTGTCTAAATTTCCCTCTTCTTTGCTGCAGATAATCTTATCAGTGAATGAACCTGCAGGTAAAGGATCCTGGGAACTACAAAAGGAACCACTATTGAGGAGGTTATTTTTTTGAACACAGAGGTAAGATGGGCTACTAGGAGAAGGAAGTGCAGGATCGGCTGAAATTGTTTTATTAATAATTTGGGGCTCAGAGGGTGGACTGTTCTCACAACATGGTGAATTGGAAGAACCACCCATCTGCATGAACATGTTTTTGATCTTATGCACTCTGTTGCCATATGTGACAGCTCTGCCACGAACATGTGGGTCATTACTCCCTCCATTGGAAGAGCTGGTCAACTTGTGTTGAGGACTAGACTTGTTGGAAGTATTATCAGTGTTCACTGAATCAAAACTGCACTTAATTGCATGAAAATCAGTTTTATAGGTATTTCTGTGTGGAGAAGCACTTCTTAAAGTTCTCTCTCCTTTGCCTTCAGTCTTCATCATTGTAAAATGGAGAGAACCTTCAGTTCTTTACGAATGAGTGTCTGAAGAGGTGAAAACCAACAGCAGCTGCCTGTGCTGCTCCCACAATGTGATAGTCTTCTTACAGACCGGAGAGAGAATGAGACTGGAAGACGCCTCTCACTAGTTTATTCTGCCATAAGGGCAATGAAATGTGTTGTGGGAAGGAGGAGGAGAGGCAGATACAAAAACAACAAGCACTTCAGGAATGTATCTAGAAAAATGAGATGCTAGCACCATAGCAGATCCATTCTTATCCTGAAAGACATCTGCAAAAAAACAACACTTAATGAGCCAGAGAGATCACCCATTTAAACTAAGTATTTCATCCTTTCGTTAAACGGAATTCCATAACCTAAGGAATGGAGAAATTCATTTCAAATGCATTCTATCAGCCAAGGGGTGAAGGAAAAATAACGAAAAACAATCTGAAACTCAAGAGTTCACATGAGGCAAATTTTAGAGACTTTGCCCCACACAGTGAAAGATACTTTCATTGCCAAGATTTGGCTTTGTAACATATGAAATAGTAAATAAGGAAAAGCAGATAATGGCTTTCAACACATGCCAAAAATAGGTTGTTCTTCTTTCCCTCTCCAGTGAACAACTATGGCCAGTTCTTCCTCTTTGGGGATTAAGGATTCTAAGACTGAGGTGTGACTTTCACACAGGGTCGAGCAACATTTTTCACTGGAAAAGAAATCGTTTGAACCTCGAAGTTTCTTTCTAGTCTGGAAATAAATCTGAAGATTTGGCGTCTCTGTCTCCCCCCCCCCCCCCCCCCC